GTGGTGGGCAGAGCACAGATAGCCCTTGTGTAGCTTTGTGCATAATTAAAAACAAACAAACAAACCACTACACCAAGAAAAAATACAGTGGCACTACTGTTGTCGCTACATATTTATGAGTATAGTAGCGCTACCGATACTTTTGAAACACATTTTTCATATATACTTTTTTTTTCAATGGATAACGTAAGAATCAAAAATACAAATTTATTGGTAAGTGGCAATACTTTACTGCTACAATAACATAATACAAACTTCTGAGAATCAGCCTATCTGTATTTGTGATTGATGAGAGGAAAGCAGTTAACAACCAAAAAGCCACAGATACATTCAATGCTAGTAGTCAAAGTACACAATGTCAAAAAATAAATGAATATTATAACGGTAATAATAATAATACTAATATAGAATAATAAATCTCTAATATTAGAAGATATTATGTCCCTTATTATTTGTTCAGTTTTATTGTTGTTTTAATTTATTTAATTTCAATACCATCAACTTCTCAAAATTTCTATCCGTGAATCCAGCTCTGTTTGGTTTCAAAATGTCTTTCTCTGTTGATAAAATGTGCTCTACAGCTGCATTCAATGGAATTCGCATATTGAAGTAAATGACGAGAGATTTAAAAGCTGGTGAAGGGAACAAGCTTGATTCTATTATCTTTTGAAGTAGATGGTTCTTTACTCGGGAACAGTGTTATTTGATTGTTGCTACTTGGAGACGAACTACTTGCAGATGTTGCTTAAAGCACATGAAGTCTTCTTCGTCATCTCCCTCGGTGCTCGAAAATGACAAAAAATCACTTAATTCAACATTTACTGGACTTTCATCACCGATGCCTTTTATCTTTTCTGAAAGTTTTTAATCATCATTTGGTTTACAATTTCTTTCCAAGCAATCGAGCTAATCAAGTCAGTTTAAACCCCTGGGTGAAAAGCAGCTGCGAGAATATGATCCTCATTGAAGAAAACAGCTTCAAAGCGCTTCTCATTTCCTGAAATCAAAGCATTAACAAGTGGCTTGCAAGTCTGCAGTGGTTTACCATAAATATCTTTCATTTTTGTCAAACATGCGGTAAGTGTTGGCAGAAGTAGTCCCATATAGGCTTTATTTTTACTTTGAAGTAAATCCAGTTCAAGTACTACAGGTTGCATGATGAATACCTATTCTTTGATGAAGTTTATATCTGAAAAGTTGAAACGAGTGATGCCCAGCTCATCATACACTTTATTGACCGAACTATATCTTTTTATTATTGTGGTTTTCATACGAACGAATGCATCGTCCATGATTTCCACAAAATGTTCGTCCATTTCTTGCTATATAAGGTCAGCTGCTACGGTGCTGCAGCACTGTTTGTTCCAAAGTGTCTGGGCCTTCGCAAATACCGATCTGGACACTTTCTTGAATTTACCGTTGCTCAAAGCCTTTTCTACATCACTGGTTGCTACTAAATTGAATGTATGTGCCGCACATTGAAGATGCACGGAGAGAAAGCAAACCTCACTACTAATGACATCGAAAATGCTGTGGAAGTTTATCTCATTTTCTCTGTGCTTTGCTCTGCTTTGAAATCATCTGCATCAATACTTAAATGTTCAGACCTTGGTTCAGTGGAGAAGATCCTGCAAAAACAAATTGTAAAATATAAAGAAATGTGTATATGGTGTGTGGAATGGCTCAGTAGTACCATTTTGGTATGGTATTATTGCTGTATTGGCATGTTATATAATATAATTTATATAATATTATATAAATGATAATAATAATTTAATTTCCTATACAATGCTCATCTGGCCATTTAAAACACCTTTCTGACTAGTCTCTACATTAGTTGAAAACCAGCTGAAAGATATGTGACTTCAAAAGACTTGTAAAAGACCTGACAGTCTTTGCACATTGCAACTCGATAGGGAGAGCGTTCCAAAGTTTAGGAGCATAGGCAGAAAAAGCACGATCACCAAAACATGAGAGAAGGAAAAAGATAGAAATAGTATTAATATATACTAGCCTTGACCTGCAAAACATTCTATTATTTCCATGCACAGCATTTAAGATATACTTTCTAGCAGGCATTGTGTGTTAAATCAATAAATTGTGTTCAATTTGAAAACGAGGGAATCCTCAATAGTCGCGGCATTTGAAATTCTTTTAGGCAGGATTAGAGTAAATTAATCTGTGAGACCTTTCCCTTCCCCTTTTTATTAGCTGTATTTTTTGTGCATCAGCAATACCAAGCGTGGGGCGCGCATATACCCGATTCGGTTTCATTGCTCATCAGGATCTCTATCAACCTATCCTCAAATTGAAATTATTTTAGGCAGGATTAGAGTAAATTAACCTATGAGGCCTTAGGCTTGGTCAAATACATCATTAGATGTATTAAATTTCAGAAACAACAATTTTTATTATCTATAAAATTAAAAATGTTAACAATGTATTACAACTTACTTGTTGCAGCAACTTAAGGGAGTCGGCTGCGGTCACGAGCCACTCTACTGTGCTAAGCTTCTCTTTCAGTTCATCTTTTTTTTCTGGGCGAATTTATCGTTAATTGTGCATGTTAGGGATCTCCTACCAAAACTGTTATAATTAGCTGTAATGTCTGAATAAGATTTTTCAAAGCTTAAGATTCAACAAATTTGAAAGGAAGCATTTCCTCAATGACTAAATCAGTTATGAATGCATTTATTTTATACTAGGTAACCCTCCAGGCACTAGCAGCAATAAAGGCTCCAAGAGTTGCTTTATTTGCTTTAATTTTTCTGTTACTAGAAGTATGAGCCCCTGTCTCTGTTGATTCAACTGACCGTTTGCTCAATCTGTTTACCTTCGTTCTTCTCTTGCTGCACGATTCAAAATCCTTGAGTTTACTGGAATGATTGTAACTAATGTGTTTCTTCAGATTAAAGAGTGATTTCTTATTAGCACTGTAAATATTCTTTCGGGGCAAACATAACTTACACTGCAAAAAAATAATCCTGACAGAACAAGCTCACGACAGCAACTTTTTTTGTAAGCAAAATGCAGTATAAATATAATTAGATACAATTGATTGTACAACGTACAAAATAATATAATATTATTATATATTATAATATATGTATAATAATAACATGAATATATATATTATTTTATTAATAATAATACGCCCCCAGTGGCACAGCGGTATGTCTGCGGACTTATAACGCTAGAATCGGGGTTTCGATACCCGTGGTGGGCAGAGCACAGATAGCCCATTGTGTAGCTTTGTGCTTAATTACAAACAAACAATAATAATAAATATTATAATGATATATATTATAAACCATGATTTATAATAATATGTATGTCTAGGATTTTCTTAACTAATTATCTGACATGAAATATAAAGTAGCTTATTCATGTAAATATCTTGAATTATCAATTGAAACGTGTTAACCAAGAAAAGTGTTAGAATTGTCCAGCTCAGGAATTTAATAATACATTTAACAGCGCTTCTAAACTAAATTTTTACATAAAAATAAGTTGATGAACCTTCTAAATTAATATTAAATTAAACTGAAAATGTAAACAGTAAATATAAGAATCTTATAAACAAATTAGCTGAAATACCCATTCCCTAGACCAGTGATTGCAAACCTTTTTCAATGCTGGCACCCCTTGAGATTTTGAAATGCGATCCCGCACCCCAGAGTTAAAAGCAAAAATTTAAATTTTTTCAGGTCAAATTATTAAGTACTAATTAATGAGTATTTTTAATTAACACAAATTTTCGAAAAGAAAAAAAAACACTTATTTTGCCAGAAAATAAAACACGTTATCATAAGTCAGAAAAATTTATATATATATATAT